TATTTCAGCTGACTCAGGGAAGATCTAAGGGGTTCTTCTAAGATTGCAGAAGAGAATGAACTCTGGAAGCCCAGTGATCTAGATTTGAATTCTGCTCTCACCTACTAGTTTCACAGCCCCAGCTGAGCCATTGCACTCATCACACATTCAGTCCTCCCATCTGTAAGATGAAAATACTATCTACCTCTTGGTGGAAGATGCTGAATTGAAACATAAGCAAGAGCTCAGTAAACGTGGGCCCCTTGTCCCTCCTCATGTTCACTGGGCTGCACCAGGGGGGTTATCTCTGAGCACACACGTCTGAGTGTCGGTCAGGACTGCACCCACAGAAGGAGATCATCTAGGGTGCATATGTCCCTTACGGGACAGCCTGGTGGGGAGGCGTGGAATGTTTATCCAGGGATGGAGCACCCTAGTGGGGCTTGCCGTAGGTTGATGAAAAAACTGCAGAATAACCTTGAGTCCTAGCAATTCTGTCTCACGGAGATTTCACCAGCGCTGTTGGGCCGACCAAGCCCAGGGGTATGTGCATGGTGTGTGTGTATGTGCACACGTGTACACACACAGTGTACCTTGGAGCTCTTGAGGTAGCCTGAGGGGGCAGGGAGAGACCTTGGCAGGGAGAGTGGTGTCTGAACCTGGCCCCACTGGCCCAGCCCTGGGCTCCAGCTTCCTCTCCAGAAAACCCCAGCTGATGATCAAGTGCTGATTTAAAATAATAAACACAAGGACTCTGCTGTGCGTGGCAAAATGTCAGTGAAATAACGTGGGTGAAAGGTGGGACCTAAATTGCATGTGCATGATGATGACAGACTGGAAATGCTCTGTTTACACACAGATAAGGATTGGAAAAGGCCCCAGAGAGATGTGACGGGGGAGGGATTGAGGGGGGACTTTCTGCAAAGCTGTTTATATGTTTAATAATTGGCTACTCTTCCCCATGTGCAGCTGGCCTCCCAGTCCCCTTCTATGCATTTCCTTATTATTCTGATTCCTACACGATGCCCATCTGCACACTCTTCATGGAGAATGAGCCTTCTGTCCCACCCTGGGCTGGGGGCAGAGTGCAGGGCCAACAGGCCAAGAACTGGGCTGGCGCTGTCCCCTCCCACCCTGTGTCCCACACACACTTCGGCTGCCTAGGCTGCTCAGAGCCTCTGGCTGCTGCCTCCCTGCCTCCCCACCCAGCTCCCGTTCCCCTTCACCCCCTCATTTCTCATGTACTCCTGGCCATGTTCCCACCAGGAACATTCTGTCACAGGCTTCTCCCCTCCTTGCGTCCAATTCCCAGGGGGAAAGAGAGGGTGCTTCCTATGATATTTTAGGGCCTCCCACTTCTTGGCACGGTTCTTCAACAAGGCTCAGCAAAGACATCTTGGGGCAGCCAGAGAAGCAAGGAGGAGGCCCAGATGCCAGGTTCCAGAGAAAAAGGCTTTCTGGGAAGTCCCCTGCCCCTCACACCCACCAGTGTGTGTCCCACCTTCTCCCTCACCAGTGACCCCTCCCCAATTATCCAGCCCCTCTCCCTCTCATCCTCCCCGAGCCTCAGTATCCTCATCTGTAAAATGGAGCCAGTAACACCCAGGATTAATTGAGACGACTTGTACAGAACCTTAGCTTCAGCCTAGACAGGGCATCTGAAGGCTTGCCTCCCTCACGCCCTCCCCGCTGCAGCTCCCTTTAGTCCTTTGGAGCTGAATGTTCATTCACTGGGCGAATGAATTGCTATGTAACTTGCAGGTGTGAAAGGAATCACACATCCATGGGTCTATCGTGTTCTAATTTGTGAATAAAAGTCTTAAGAAGCTATTAATTCCATGAAAGAGTTCTGCTCCCAAATAGCCTTTCTGCTATAAAACATTTCTCAGGGGCTCCTCGCCACTAACTTGGCACAGCATCCTGAGTCTATCAGAAGCTAACAGGTGTATGAGGGCGCATGTCAGGGTCTTGGGAGCAGCCACTGGCCACAGGAACATGCCCTGTCTCCACTATATTTTCTCCCCACCCAGCAGCAGCTGCCTGGTCCTGCCTTCGACCCCCTCATGGGGCAGCCTTGGGCAGTAAAAGGCAAGTTGTGCCAGGACCCAGACAAGGAGAGGGATGTGGGGAAAGCCTGCCAGCGGCAGCTTGCTCCCCTGATCCCCAGCCCTAGCCCTGCCCTCCTCCACTGCAGCCTCTGACGTCAGTCTGACCCCCTTTACTCCCAGACCCCACAGGCCGCGAGGCCCATAGCTGTTGCTCAGTAATAGTCACTCACCCACTCACTAATAAATGAAGCCTCAACAGCACCTCTTTCCCACAGCCCATCCCATGGCCCCGACTCCACTTGATCTTCCTGTCGGAACCCTGACCCGCATAATCCCCGTGAGAAGAGCTGAGGCAGGCTGCACTGCTTACCTCTGACACTTCAGGCTACCCTGGGGCCCCTGTGTCTTTCTGTCTTTCCCCTACAGAGCCAAGTACCGGTCTGGAGGGATGAGGGGTGCAGATGAGGAAGTATAGGCTTTGGAAATGCTTCTTCAGTGCTGCCAGTGACCGCAGCAACTAAGGCACTCCCAGCCCCCTGGAAATCCAGTGTCTGCTTCTAACCGTGAAACTGGGCTCATCCCCCACCAACCCAGGAGGGAGGCCCTGGCTAGAGCCAACAGGTGCTAGGAGAAGAGAAAGGAAAAGGGAGTCTATGGGCAGGAGATAGCAAAGCAAGGAGGTGTCGGGCGCTGGAGAAGGTTCCTGATGCTACTGTGATGGTCGGGGGAGGAGGAGTCTGGCCACCTGGTTCTCACATCCCTGTCCTCCAGCCCCTGCCCTCTCCTTTCCTTGATGGCACCTTATCCCGGGAGGTAAAAGGCAGGTAACCAAGTTTCATTCCATGGCTTGGAAGGTGTCCAGGTGCTCCCCCCACAGCAACGAGGGGCCACAGGACGCTCGGGGTTCCATTGTCTTCTGAGAGGCCAAACGCAGGGACCACTGTGACCTAAGACTGTGGTGCGTGGGCCTGGGAATCCAGGCACCTTTTAAAAAGTCACATTAGTCCCCAAAACAAGTGACTCAGAAACTTCTGGAACATAGCCCACTGAAAGCTAGGACCTCCTGCTTTCTATCTCAGGCTCTGGAACAGACCTTGGGCACCACCTCCCCTTCCCCGTCTATTCCCAAAGCTTCATCCAAGGCCCTGCTTCCATGTCAAGATCATGATCTCCTGGGATGCTAATACTGCTATTCTTGATTTACTTGTTTTCCTATCTTTTTTTTCCCCGTTTCCTATTTTTTTGAGCTTTTGTTCCTTAGCAGTGTCCAAAGGACACCAGTAATCAAGGGGTCAGCCTCTGGGCTCTAATGGGGAGAATTTCTGATTTGCTCCCTTCGTAGACAGTGAAGCATATAGGAAACTCACATCGTCCAGGGACCCTGGCAGAGAGGAAAGTGACTGCTCAGCGAAAGGTAAGGGTTCAGAGTTTGAGCCCAGGCCCCAGAGGCTGCCATGCCCACCTATCTGCCACCAGGCTGGACTCTCCACTGATTCCCAATAGAAATGCCTCTTGCCATTCTCACTCCGACAGCTTCCAGCAGGGCTCTCTGCGGGCAGAGGCACAACCTGAAGTTCACTAACCCGGAAGTCATGAGAGGAATGGCAGGCTGCCACCTTTCACGGACAGCGCACTGGGAGGAAAGGGGACCTTCTGGTGCACCGCATGAATCCATGTGCACCAGGGCTGGGATCCTGCAGAATCAAGGCCCAAAGCTTCTCAAAAGGGCACACTGCACGACTCAGAGCGGGAAAACAGGAAGAATCTTGGTCCAAGAACCAGGAAAAAGTTACAACAGAGGAAAAACCTGTTTTTTCCTCTAACCAAGTGGGAGGCAATGGGACAGCCCCACTGGGTTCTTGCATCACCGCTGTGCCCCTGGAGACCCAGCCCCCAATCCCAGGAGACTGATGTAGTGGAGAGCACCGGAATGGAATGAAGCAATGGATGCTCCAGCCACATGACTGTCATAACTAGCTGTGTGGCCTTAGGGAGGTCACTCTTCATCTCTGTGCTCGTATAGAAAATGAGATAGCAGGCAGGACGCACAACTGTGGAATTCAGCGACTCTAAGCCCTGTGGAGCTCCCCAGCACCCCAAGATAGGTTACCAAATAATAAGCTCAGAAGACCAGGAATCACATCTCCCCATCTCTGCAGCCCCTCAGCACCTACCTGGGTCTTGGCACCTGGCAGGAGCACAAGACTATTAGTTAAGCTGAGGCCAAAATTCCACCCCCTCCAACAGAAAACATCCCCCAGAACTAGCAGACCCTCCTCATTGTGGCCGGCACCACTCTCTCCATTTGCGCCCCCACACCACGCCTTCGGTGGGGAGATTGCCACTCTCCACCTCACCTGACTGCTCGGGCACCCCGAGCTCCCAGTGGCAGAAGTGCCATCTATGACAAACACACCTTCTCTCCCTACAGTCCTTCATGTCTCCTTGTGCGCGTCATCCACAGCCTTTGATCTTGGTAACAACCACTTCAGGCAGGTAGACACTATCCCCGTTCAACAGAGGGGCACTGAGTCCACGCAGTCAGTGCCTTGCCAAAGCTAGTCGATGACAGGCTAGAGACCGGAAGCCAAGGGAGCCCTCCTTGCCCACCAGAGGTCTTCCTGGCAGAGGTCAAGGACAGGGAATAGCCAGGACAAGGCTGCCTCGCTGGAGACCAGGCCCAGCAGGGCCTTCCTGCCACCCACCCAGGCTAGGCACGAGTGACAGAGTGGCCCTGAGGACCAATGTCTGGACATCCTCTGATCCCTAGGGCCAAGCACAGACAAGCTGTATTGCAAAGCCAAGGGTCGAAGGAGAGGTACAAGTAGCTGAGAGCCCCAGAGCTCCCCCCAGCACACATTCTGATTCAAGGGCAAAGAAAACACCACCACCCCAACTGTCTAAACAGGTGCCACCTCGACTGAGAGCTGCTGGGAAGGGAAGCCACTGGGTGGGAAGGCAGGCGGGACTCACCTCCCTCAGCAACCGCATCCCCTTCAGCCCATCCTGCTGCTGCTGGGCCACGGTGACCCCCAAGACGAGGGTGTGCACGACACAGGAGACCACAGAGATGATGACGATGGGGCTGAGGCTAAGGGGCAACGTGATGAAGAAGGAGAAGACAAAGAAGGCCTGCCAGCCCACCGTGTCGCTGGCAGCGTGGGCGCGGGAGAAGTTCAGGCCCAGGTAGGAGAAGATCTGGGCTGTTATCAGCAGCCACAGCAGGTAGGGGACCACCTTCCGGGTGACCCTGTTGGGGAGTAGTCCCTTTTTGCAGAGCACGAAGAGGATGATGTCCAACACCAGCCCAACACTGGCCACAGCCAGAGGAGCCAGCTTGTCGCTGGAGAAGACCACCGCGCACATGACCACCACGTAGCAGTCGAAGAGGGCCGCAAAGACCACCAGCACCAGCAGCGTCTCATGGCGCTGCCTTTTGAAGTAGGTCTGGTACAGGTTCTCCAAGGACTCGGGCACGAAGGTCAGGCGCATGAAGCGGGGCAGGCAGAGGCAGGATCCCGAGTTCCGGACAGAGATTTCATGGGTCCGGCCCACCCCTCGGTCAGCGTCAGAGGGCAGACTGACGGAGTACTCGGCGGAGTACTCTGCCGAGTACTCGGGATCAGAGAAGCCCTGGGTCCTTGGCATCCTGGCTGCCGTGTCTGCTTCTACTGGCTCTGGGGAACTGGATGGGGAACACAGGAGGGGCTCTGGAACGGGGAAAGGCTAAGGGCCAACCACGTCGGGCAGGAACGCAGAGCCGGTGTCTGGGGCACAGGTAGCGCTGATCATCTGGAACTTAAAAGGATATGACTAAGTAGAAGCACCTCTTCCTTCCTACCTGTGCTTTCCCCACCACCCACCCTAGCCCTCCTAAAAGAATCCCTGCTGCAGAGGCTCCAGAACCAGGGCCTTTCCCCACGCCACCACCCGACCACAGGCACACTTAGTCCTGTCCACCCAAACACTCCGTTTCCTGTCTCTGGCTTGTGGACGGGCCTGGCCACCTCTCCATCCGACGCACCCCTGGTCTCTCTCACTCCCTGACTTCCTCACCTAAATCTCCTCCAGGCCCAAGCTTTAAAAGGTGAAGATAAAACATGCTAGAAAGAAACCAGAGCCATCCTGGGGGTTTCTGAATCTTCCTATGTTTACTTCCTTTCCCATCCAGCCCGTGGCGACTCGGGCTCCCCACCTCGGGGCACTGTATGCCCTCCGGAAGGCCGGCCCTGCCCCTGCGTTTACCTGTGTGGGAACTCGGGAGTCGCGTGGTCCTGGTCGGTACCTACGCCGGCTTCGGGGCCGGGTCACGGGTGCGGCTTGGGGGACAGGAGGGCTCAGCGCGCCCGGGGGGCTGCTTCCCGCGGAGCCCCGCCGTTCTGGCAGTGCCACGGTCCCCGGCCCCCGGCCCGGGCGCGACTCTCCCGCCGTCAGCCAGGGAATCCAGCCGGCAGAGGCTCAGGGCTGCCCCTCAGCATCCACAGGCGCCCAGCCGCCGGAGGAAGGAGGAGGCGGCGACGAAGGCTGGAAAATTCGGGGGCGTCCGCCGCTAGGGCTGCGGCTCGCGGGGCCGG